TTAATATCATAGAGGTGGAATTTACAACACACAGGAAAATCACATCAGATGACAATGGTGGACAGTCACACAATATTGGGAATCCTGGCCTAGCCAAGGTGACACACATTTTTGCGGGACACAATTCAATCCATACAGCTTCTCTGATCTCATGTCCCTTACTTGCGGTCTGTCCCTTCTCCGTCTGTTTTCAGGCTCATGTGCCTGTGGCTACTCTGAAATATGGCCCAAGATGAGGAAGGAGGAGGATGTTGACGTTGCTGTACAGCTGGGAAGGGCAGACCCAGGCTCTGAAGCCGCACTGTCTGTGTGTTCTTTTGGTGCCAACAGACTGTCTCAGTGGGTCCTCTCTTTACTGAAGAGGAAGCTGCCGAAACATCCCAAAGTCCTGCTCCACCTGCCTCCCAGACAGCCTGACTCCACCCCTGCCTCTGCCGCAGCCCCGTGCGTGCGTGGGCCAGGGCAGCAGCCTCTTCCCTGGTCTCCCTTCCCCCACCCGGCACCCTCAGTCCATTCTCTGTGACATTGGTGGTTTTTTTTTTCTTTTTTTTTTTCATTTCTTTCTAGATTTTTCCCTTTGGCAATATTTTTAATAGGCTTTCTTTTTTAGAGCAGTTTTGGGTTTACAGAAAAATTGTTTAGAAAGTACAGAGAGTCCCCGTATGCCCCCCCGCCCCCTCCCCTCCCCGTTTCTCTTGTTGTTAGCACGTGGTACATTTGTTACAGCTGATAAACCCATACTGATACATTATTATTAACTAAACTCCAGAGTCTCCCTGAGGGTTCACTCTGTGAGTTGTACAGTCCTGTGGGTTTTGACAAATCTTCATGTCATGTGTCTCCATGACAGTATCAGGCAGGATAATCTCACTGCCCTAAAACGCTGTGCTCTACCTGTTCATCCCCCCTCCCCGCCCCTTAGCAACCACTGCTCCTTTCATTGTCTCTATAGATTTGCATTTTCCAGAATATATGACTTTGATTTTCTAAAATCATTTAAATAAACTTGAATAGACACATAATACATGACTGGAAATGGACTCCACGGCACTTAACAACAGCGATACACAATACATGTATTTTGAGGAAACAGCGTCTCCTGTGGCTGCGTCTCTAATTGTAGCCTCTTCCCAGAGGTAATCGCAGTTCGGTGTGTTTCCATCCAGAAAATACACAGACTCGTAGAAATGTATGTCATCACTCTGTGGTTTTTGTCCGTGACATTTTTCGTGTGATCTTTTCCCAAACGCACATCTGGCCGTGCCACCCCCCTGCTTAAACCCTCAGTGCCTGCGTCCCACCACATCCCTCTGGACTTCCTCAGAGAAATTACCCTGTCTTCACGCCTTGTTGTGTTCTGTAGTCGTCCATGCTTTCAGCTGCAAGTAACAGAACAGCTGACTTACACAGCGAGGGATGCTCCTTAGAAACTCCTGCAGCGGAAAGTCTGCAGCAGGAAAGGCGGGCCCAAGAGGTGTCTCTTCCTGAAGCCTTAGCTGATGTTTCTCTCATCAGAGCTGGCCCCCTTACAGACGGTGTTTATCACATGGCTTTCTTCTTGTTTATAAAGCTGTCTCCCTGCTAGACTGGCAGCAACTTGAGGGCAGTCTTTTTTTTTTTTTAATTATAAAGCAAAGCTTACCAGTACCAGTTGCCATCACAAGTTGACTTCAACTGATGGTGAACCCATGTGTGTCAGCACAGAGCCGTGCTCCATAGGGATTTCAGTAGCTGATCTTTCAGAAGTAGATCTCTAGGCCTTTCTTCCGAGGTGCCTCTGGGTGGACTCGAATCTCCTACTTTTAGGTTAAAAGCCTAGGTGTTAACCGTCTGTGCCTCCCAGAGACTTCAGGTAAAGCACATCTGTGGTAAACAGTTCAAACACAATGTCAGTAGGAGTTTTACGATACCCCAAAGGAACCCAGAAAAGATTATTGAGACTGCTCTGGTTTCAGAAGGAATAGTCACTTTATTGAAGTGACAAATTAAAAACCATAGTTCTTCCTTAAGCTTCTTGTTCAACTTACAAATCTTATTCTATTTATAAATCTAGCAAATGTTTGCAGTCTCCTTTAAGGGGGCTTTGATTAATGTTTGGCCTCATTTACAAATTTGGTTATTAACTCCTTTTAAACATTTTAAATTGCATTCAGAAATTTAATATATTCAGTTTCGTTTTTAAGTTCATTAGTTGTCTGATTAACAAATTCTTTACTAGCACTTAAGTAATTCTTGTAAATCTATATCAATTAAATTTGGCATAAGAAATAAACATGGCACATCTTAAGTTCTCTTCAGTGTTCTAGTATTATTTATAAACTGAATACAATTTCAGTTTAAAATCACAAGTCTAAATCAATGACATATTTTAAATTAGAATCACAAATCTAATCTGATAGAGACTCTAATATGTCAGATCCTCTTAAACATTATACATTTCTAAAAAATGAACAAATTCCGAATCACATATATTAATAGTACAGGTCTGACTGACTTCATCTTTTCTGTATTTAATTCTAAGTACCCTGAGGGATAAGGTACGTTTTCCCTCTAAGGCTACCATTATGTCATTCTCAACAATTTAGAGATTGCCTTCCCAGGTGAATTTTGGGGCTGTTTCTCAGTTGGATAGATTTTCTTAAGTGACAGAGAGGTCATCGACTGGGACACAGACTTGGTTCCAGCCGATGGGGACACTGATGTGACATACTGAGGCCAGTTTACATTCATTCTATCAAGGGCTCTGTGATGAGAAAAGTGGGTGGCCACATAGCCCACTTCCTCGTTGAAGTCTTTTTACCACCCACGCCTCTCTTCCCACGGGACTCCGCAGCCCCACCAGTGTGACAGCTGGCTTCCATTCTTGCATTTCTTTGGCTGTCTGGGTCTTTCAATACCATCTCATTGAATTCTCCCGTCAAGGCTTTGTCTGACTCTTGCATTCCTAAAGTCTTGCCAGAAACACAGAACAGAGATGTGTTAGCCACAGACAGAAGCCCCTCCTCACCCAGACCCTGTCTCCAGAGTAACCAGGATTAATAGTTCCGAGTCTCTTCCTCTAGACATTTTCTATACATATAAACACTTCCCTACACACACGCACACAGTCAGGATGATGTTGTGTGCCATCAAGTCAATTCCAACTCATAGTGACCCTATGGGACAGAGTAGAACTGCCCCCTAGGGTTTGCGAGGCTATAATCTTTGTGGAAGCAGATCCTTGGGTCTTTTCTCCTGCAGAGCAGCTGATGGGTTTGAAGTCATCTTTCGAGTAGTCGTCAGGTGCTTAGCCATTGCACCACCAGGGCCCCTTATGCTATGTGTACGGTTCTGTAATATACTTTTTTCACAAAATTTGGGTCATTTTCCCAGATATCCCTCATTACTTTTGAAGGCAGCTTAGTTTTTCATTATGTGGCTGTGCCATAATATTTTTTAAAAATTCCACCATTGATGGATGTTTGTGTTTTTCCAGATTTTTTGCTGTTATTGCAGTGTCACAGTGAACACGAATTTGCATTTCTCTCTGCTTACTTTTGCTACCACTTCTCTAGGATAACGCAGTAGAGGTGGAATTGCTGGGTCATCGGGTCTGCGTTTAAAAAAAATTTTTCATTGTGCTTTATGTGTAAGTTTACAGAGCAAATTAGTTTCTCATTAAAAAATCTATACACAGATTGTTTTGTGACATTGGTTGCAATCCTACATTGTGTCAACACTCTCCCCCTTTCCCTTTCCACCCTGGCTTCCCTGGTTCCATTTATCCTGTTTTCCTGTCCCTTCCTGCCTTCTCGTCTTTGTTTTCGGGCAGGTGTTGCCTATTTAATCTCATCTGCTTGACTGAACTAAGAAGCACGTTCCTCACGTATGTTATTGTTTGTTTTATAGGCCTGTCTAATCTTTGGCTGAAAGGTGGACTTCAAGAGTGGCTTCAAGTGTGAGTTAGAAGGGTGCCTGGAGGCCACAGTCTCGGGAGTTCCTCCCGTCTCTGTCAGACCAGTAGGTCTGGTCTTTTTTGTGAATTTGATCTTTTGTTGTACATTTTCTCCCGCCCTGTCTGGGACCTTCTGTGTAATCCCAGTCAGAGCAGCCGATAGTGGTAGATGGGCACCATTGTGCGTTTAAAATTTTCATGGATACAGCTCACTTGCCATCTGGAAAGGTTGTACTCACTTTTTGATGTTGTTAGTTGCTGTCAAGTCAGCTCCTACTCATGGCGACCTTGTGTGCAGTGGAACAGAAAGAAACGTTGCCCGGTCTTGCACGGTCTTCATGATCGTTGCTGTGTTAGAGTCCATTGTGGTCATCGTGGCAGTCCTTCTCATTGAGGGTTTCCCTCGTTTTTGCTGACTCTTTACTTTACCAAACATGATGTCCTTTTCTATGGCTTTGTCTTTCCTGCTGGCATGTCCAAAGTAAAGGAGCCAAAGTCTTGCCATCCTCACTTCCTCCAAGACAGATTCGTTCATTCTTCTGGCAGTCCACGGTATATCCATATTCTTCACCAACACCACAATTCAAATCCATCTCTTCTTCTGTTTTCCTTTTTCATTGTCCAGCATTTGCAAGCAAGCATATGAGGTGACTGAGAAGACCATGGGTTTCGTCAGACACACCTTAGTTGTCAAAGTGACATCGTTGTTTTTTTTTCCTGAGAGTTGGGATTTTGTCCTGTTCACCTTTTTACCCACACATCCTCATACCTGGCACAGTGCTGGGCGCAGGGTCAGGACTCAAGAACAAATGAGAAACTAGAGCTTCTGAAGAGAGAGAAAAGCATGCTTGCATACTGCCCTGAGTTATGTTCTTTATGTCCTTCCAGAATGCTTCCTATTGTTTTATGTACACATATATTAGCATGTAGAAATACATGTTATCATTATGTGGTTTTTTTCCCACATTTTCACTGTGATCTTTCCCAGATGCACATCAATTGTTTGCTCCCCCACTGAAAACCCTCAGAGGCTCCCTGTTGCCAAATCAGCCGAGTGGGCCCCTCATATAATTGAGATCATACAATATTTGTCCATTTTTGTCTAGCTTCTTTCTTTTTTTTTTTTAAATAATATTTTATTGTGTTTTTGGTGAAAGTTTATATAGCAAGTTAGGTTCCCATTTGACAATTTCCACACGAATTGATCAGTGACATTAGTTACATTTTTCACAATGTGTCAACATTCTGTTTAATTGTGTTCTGGTTGTTTTGTTTCCAGTACTCTAGTTTCCCCGCTCCCTTATCTTCTCATCTTTGCTTCAGATTAAACGTTGACCTTTTGAACTCATACTGGTGGTTTTTTAGTAGAGCATTGATCTAATGGGTAATACATTTGTGTGTCACTCTGCTTTTCTGTTAGAAGGTAATCTCAGGATTGTTTTGTTTCAAGTTTTAAAGAGAGTCTCAGGGCGATAGTCTCAGGGAGTCCTCTGGTCTCAGGTGGTCCAGTTAGTCTAGGCTTTTTTAAATAATTTCAGTTTTATTCTACATTTTTCTCCTATTCTGTCCAGGATCATCTATTATGAACCCTAGTCAGATCAGTCACTGGTGGTAGCTGGGCACCATCTAGTTCTTCTGGTCTCAGGAGAGTTGAGATCACAGCTCAGGTAGGCTGTCAGCCCTACAGAGTTGTTTCTTCTCTGAGACTTTGGTTACCTTTTACTCTCTTGCTCCTGATGAGTAGAGACCAATAGTTGTATCGTAGGTGGCTGCTCGCAAGCTTTTAAGACCCCAGACACTACTCACGTCACTAGGATGAAGAACTGTATTATGCTAGTTGACTGAGTTGTCCCATAAGACTATGGTCCTAAACTTTCAAACCTAGAAAACCAGTCTCAGAAGGTGTTTGGTTATGTCTGAGCAGTATCTATAGTTGTGTCTTCAGTGAATATATGTGCCTTCCCACACGTATCTGTATTTACACATACATATGCATACTTCTATCTGTTCTCACCTATACACCTGAACCCACCCGTCTACCTGTATGTGCGTCTGGCTTCCTTCATGCAGCATAGTCTCCAAGGTTCATCCATGTTGTAGCATATGTCAGAACTTCACTCCTTTTTATGTCTGCATAATATTCCACTATATGCATAGACCACATTTTGTCAATCCATTCATCCGTTGATGGACACTTCGGTTGTTCCCACCTTTTGGCTGTCGTGAATAGAGCTGCTCTGGGAAGCCAGTTCTACTTCAGCAAATGCTCGTCCCTCCTTGTCCTGTTTTGCAGTATCCCTGTGCACACAATATTTGACAGCTGCCCAGAAGGCAACGGCATTAGGGCGATAGCCATCACCCACGACGCCAAGTATCTGGCAACCATCTCAGATGGTAAAGACCAGGTAATGGGGCCCTTGGGGTCTGCCCAGAAGGCTGGCCATCCTGTCAAGAGTATCCTCATGGGTAGCTCTGCGCAGACCACACGGCACCTATAATGTTCTCAGGGGAAGCTCATGGGACTTTGCTTAGCAAACCAAAGTTACTGTGTCACCACAAGAGGCCGGATATACCTCAGCAGGCTTCAGAGAGCGTCTCATTTCCCTCTCTCTGCTGTCACAGAAAATTTGCATATGGAAGTGGACCTTAGCCGTGGAGACGCCTGCATGCACTCTGGACCTTAACAAGGAGTATGGTTTTCAGGTGAGTTCCATCTGAGCCAGTAACGCTCAAGCTAACGTTACACTGAGACCAGGCCAGAGCTCCCTTATTGTCCAGTGGGGTTTTGTTGTGGTGTGGTAGAGCTTTTGATAGACACTTTCACACTCACAATCTCATTTTTTTATAATCATAGCTATTTTTTTTTTGAGCACTTATGAATAAGATTCTGCTAAATTTTTTACGCATATCATCCCACATAATCCATGCAAACATGCTGGGAAGGAGATATTACTAGACAGTAAGATCTTTGAAATTATTAAAGAATTTGTCTAAAGTGACCCAGCTAGCAGCCTTTCTGATTCTAGAAGCATGCTCTTAACTGCTTCTAACCTCATAACTAACTTGTGAGTTATATAGGGATGTTACTGTTATTGTTTTTATTCTCAATTTACATGAGGTGACTTGCTAAGGACTCCCAGAATGTTTACGTCAGCTGTCCCCAGGGTCCCTGCTCTCCGCTGTTCTCCACTGTCCCCTCCATCCCGGTATCCTCCATTCAGGATGCATTTATCGAGTGCCTGCTGTGTGCCTGGCACTGTGATAAGTACACACCTGGTTTCCCAGTGACCAGAATTCAGCAAGGCACGTATCATTATGCCCATCTTCTCTCCTCCTGCCCCCAACATCCTCCCCACTCCCGTAAAAGTCCTTACTTCTTAAAGCTGCACTGCCTAATACGGTAGCCGCGAGCCACATGTGGCTGTTCAGATCAGTCACAATGAAATAAAATTACAAATTCAGTTCCTCACTTCCACTAGCCACATTTCAAGAGCTCAGTAGCCACATGTGGCTCGTGGCTGCCGTATTAGACGGCACACGTTACAGAACATTTCCATCACTGTGGAAAGTTCTGTTGGACAGTGCTGCAGAAGCACCCCGACTCTGGGTATACTCCACCAGCCATCTCTGCTCCTGCACTTCAGCAGGCTGAATGCGCCTAGGGAGAAACTCCCATCTGAGCCAATTCATTTGTCTTCAAATTCAGTCATCAATTTCAAGTGAGCTCTCAGCTTTGCCTGCCTGTGCTGGTGGGCTGTCTCTTTATTCCCAGAGACGGCGGTTTCACCCCTTCTCCTCACACCTCCCACAGCCCTGCTCTCGCTCTCGGCTCACGTCCTCTCCTATTCCACTGAGAAAATGGAAGTATGGGATACAGATACCCGCCAATCCCACTCCCAAGCCTATATCCTACTCTCAACTTCACTGTCTTCTCTTCTTCCCTCCAGTTGTGATGAAGGGCCTGGGGTGCTAGACCTGACCTCTCTCACTTCCTCAGGGCCCTCTCCTGCACCCGTCAGCCTCCCTATGCTAGATCATTATTCCATTTTGCAGCATGCAAACGTGCTTGGAAGAACTCCCTTTGACCCACGTCTTACAGTGATTGCCCTTTGCTCCTCTTCTTGGTATAACTTCTCAGAAGAGCTGTCTACACTTGCTTTCTCTACTTCATCTTTTATTTACTTTTTTTTTTTTTGAAGAAGTGTTTTATTTCCTTATATTTTTATTGTGTAATAAGGCATATGGTCAAAAATGTATACATTTTAAAGAAGAAAACAAAATGTACCTGTGTACTTACCACCTGGACCAAGAAATAGAATATCACCTAAATCCCAGAAGCCCCCTCCTGTGCTCCTTCTTAATCCCATTTCCTCCCTTTCTCCCAAAACTGAACCACTATCCGAAATTTCGTGTTATCCTTTTCCTTACTTTTCTTTATACTTTTCTCCAGTGATGTATGCGTTCTTCAATACTATCTGATTTAGTTTTGCCTGTTGTTTACCTTTATAGATTTAGATTCATATTATTTGTTCTGCATTGTTTCTGGGATTCATCCTCATTAAGTTTTGAGCTTTAATTCATTCATTTTCACTGCAGTATAGTTTTTCATTGTCTGAATATAACACAACTTATTTATCCATCCTACTGTTGATGGACAAAACGAAGCCCTGGTGGTGCAGTGGCTAAGCACTGGGCTGCTAACCGAAAGATGAGCAGTTCGAAACCACCAGCCGCTCCACAGGAGAAAGATGTAGCAGTTTGCTTCTGTAAAGATTACAGCCTTGGAAACCCTGTGAGGCAGCTCTACTCTGTCCTGTAGGGTCTCTGAATCAGTGATAGCATGGTGTTTCTTTTTTTTTTAATTGATGGACATTTTGGTTCTTTTCATCTGTCTTCTACAAAATTCATCTCCCGCCACGACTTCACGAAAACTGTGCTTGTCATGGTCACTATTGTTCCTAAATCAAATGAACATTGTGAAATCCTCTTTTTACTCTTCCTTGACTTTCAGCAGTTTTTCATTGATGTGTCTGTGTGTCTGTGTGTATGTAGTTGATTAAAAAAAAATCTGAACTAGAGACACAAGGGACCTAACCTACCTGGAGCAAAGGAGAGTGAAGAACACCAAAGACACAAGGAAAATATTAGTCCAAGAGACAGAAAGGGCCACATAAACCAGAGACTCCATCAGCCTGAAACCAGAAGAACTAGATGGTGCCTGGCTATCACCAATGACCACCCTGACAGAACACAACAGAGAGTCCCTGACGGAGCAGGAGAAAGGAGGGGTGCAGAACTCAAATTCTAGTAAGAAGACCAGACTTAATGATCTGACTGAGATTGGAGAAACCCCAGAAGACGTGGCCCCCAGACTCTCTGTTAACCTGGAACTAAAACCGTTCCTGAAGCCAACTCTTCAGACAAAGAGTAGACTGGACTATAAGACATAAAGTGATACTCGTAAAGAATGTGCCTCTTAGTTCAGGTAGATACATGAGACTAAGTGGGCAGCTTCTGTCCAGAGGCGAGATGAGAAGG